TATTCTATTCTTCTATTCTATTTTCTATTCTATTATTCTAATCTATTCTATATTATATTATACATTGTATTCTATTATTCTATTCTATATTCTATTCTATTCAATTCCATTATTCTATTCTATTCAATTCCATTATTCTATTCTATATTGTATTCTATTATTCTATTCTATATTCTACTATTCTATTCTTCTATTCCATTCCATCCCATTATTCCATCCCATTCTATATTGTATATTATTCTATTCTATTCTATATTATATATTCCTATTCTATTATTCTCTGTTGCTTAAAGCGCGGGGGCGTCTCCCCTCCCACTCTTCAGTTATCCGGGAAATGAGGGAATCAAATTTGCCGAAGCATCCAACAGCACTCGCTTAATTTGGTTGCTGAATTAATCCCCTGAATTGAGTTTGCCTAGCCTGGGTAAGCTCCAGTCCGCATCCAGCTTTATAACTACCGGTAGTTCACATGATGCGCGAGATGTTTAATGTCAATGATCTAATCGAGCTATTGTGAGAATCCAGTCCAAAAGCTGGATCTTCCACCCTGGTACTCTAAGACTTTCCATTATACACAGCCACACATTGGTCCAGGAGAATAGAGGAGCTCTGGAGGAGCGCAAGTCTGGAAAACCGTCCTTACGGTTCCTTCAAACGAAAAGAAAAAAAAATCCCTCTACTTGTAATCTTTCCCATCGTTTATATGCAAGGAGGCCTCGTTGTTTACAAAGTAATCGTGGAATCTCAGCCATTCGTAAACTAGGATGTGTGACTTAGAGACTTGTGTGAATCCAGACAATTTTATTTACTCAACCATAGCTTATCGCCAGGTTGCATATTCCTAAAGTCCTCATCAAAATTTTGACTTCTGTCCCGGAGACCTTTCTTATCCGAGTACACACGACCAAAGTTTCATTCACAACGACCAGTACCCGGAAATAATTGATTACCCGAGAACGATCAGATAATTTTTTAAATAAAAACTTCAAACAAAACTAAGTCAATTATTATTTTGGTGACGGCCCTCCCGCTACCCCACCTTTGGGAGGGCGCCGAACGGGGGGGCAAAAACTCGTTAACGAGTTTGTCAAAATCTGGTTTCAAAGCCCAGTCCTGCCGGTTTAATGTTATTTTCTAAACGAAGCCAATTTTGGGGTTGTCCGTCAGTGCACGATTCGCTTTGATGGGGACTCCTGAAGTAGCCCCAGGGGCCAGGTTAAAGAGTCGGCTTCACAGAGGGAAACTTGGCAAACGTAGCTTGGGCTCGACGTGAACGAAGCCGGAGTACCGGTGCGGGAGGGGTGTGTGTGAGCTCCGGGCTTTGGCATAATTGTTACCAGCCGAAAAGTGAATTTCAGGTGATGGACGGACGCCGAGCCCAGTCAGGGGATTCCCCCTTCTCCCTTCCCAGCTTATTTGCCCCATCCAAGCTCATTTGCATCGCAACTGTACCTGTATTTCTGTTGCCTCCCCTCTTCCCCATAACTTTCCTTCTTGGCTCGCCTTTAGCTCAGCCGATCCTGCTACAAGCTTCCGCCCGACCCACTCCCGCTTGCCCCCCCCAATACCCCGAAGACTGAAGTCTTTATGGCCTGCCTGGAGATCCCAGCAGCTCCCCTCGGGAAGGCCCTTAACACCCGGGATAGCAAGAGACTTCTGCTCCCTCCTGGTTCTGAAGATGGGCCAGGGTGTGTGTTTAGAGCGCAACTAGCAGAAGCCACCACAGCCAGGCTGCTCCTGGCAGGCAGAAGGGAATGGGGGAAAAGTCAGAGGCAGTCCTTCTTCTGGGTAGTCAGTATGCCCCCCCCCCAAGTCTTCAATGGCCAAGCCTCCAGAATTCTCTTTTCCTTGCTAGGGATTTGGGGTACCGAAAGCCACAGATCAAACAATCCCTCTGCAGTAAAGATGGGAGGTTCAGGCTGGAGTCCTGGGAAAAGGGGCACCAGTTTAGGCAAGGTCCTTTCTTCCTCAAGGAATAAGGTCACCCCTTGGAGTAACTCAGAGTCGCAGTAATACAGTAAAAACCACTTTTTTTCTGTTTGGTAAAGGAGGGTTGTTTGGTCTGAAGGTTCTGATACGGTTGCTAAAAATGTAAGTGGCTGCAAAGCCACAAGAAATGAAGTTGCCCCTTTGCTTTGCTGTTGTTTTCATGTCTTTGGGGGGAAAAACCCATTTGGCTATGTAAACATGTGGGCACTGCCACAGGAACTAGGAACAGCCTTGAAACAAAGCATAAGAAACCAAAACAAGGGAAGGCAGAGAAATACATCCTCAGGTTGTTGGTTTTTTTTTAGGAAAGGAGGGGGGTGTTTATATATATATATATAATGGTTGTGGAGTAGAAGAGGCTACGTTCTTTGTTCAAAGATTATCCACTTTACATTAGTGTCCTTTGAGGATCCTGCAAGAAAGCAGCTCCCCTAAATAAATAAATGGGTTGATACAGCCCCTTCGTGCCAGCTTCTCCCGGGAGCACCACAGGAAAAAGGTTCTTCTGCCAGCTGGTGGCTCTTAAGTTTCCTCAGCCAGGAGGGTCAGGATTTCTGCTCCTTTGTCTGTAATGACGATGGTGTGCTCAAACACGGCTGATCTGAAAGAGAAGCAGCTAGTTAGGGGGACAAGGTGGTCCTGGAATTCTATTTTGAAGGGAAAATGCATGAGAACCAACAGCAAAATGTCCAATTAGGGAATTATCAATTAAACTGAGAATTGAAATGACAACAGGAAAGTTACCACCTTCTGAGGTCTGCGCTTATCAGAGTCCAATCATCATCCAGGAGATAACATTCAGTCAATCCTTCCATTATTACAGGCTCTGATACGACAAACAGAGAATTAAATAAGTATTATAGTGATTTGCAAGCTTGTCCTTCCTAACCCTCCAAGGGCCAGTTTGTCCAGATAAACCATATTGAATTTTACTTGAGCCATCGCTCAAAAAATCCCAATCACAAAAGCAGTTGCTATCGCTGGAGGAAAGCATAGCAACCCTCAAGCTTGAACCTGGATGCGTGTCCCTGTTTCAAAAGGTGGAAGAAGGGCATTTTAATCAAGCTTTAATTAAGATCCTCGTGGATCATAACAACCAAAGCCCCCAGCCACTTTCCTCCAAAGAGCAGGCAGGATGGAAATATTTGATTTTTTTAAAAGCAGGTTTTAAAATGTTCATTAAATCAGCAAAACAACAATTTTCTTATTTCCCCTTAATTGCTGTACCATTTAGGCACGCCGTGAGTGAGGAATACATTTTTTCCTCTCTCTTTCCACCCCCTGATAAGCTCTTGATGATTGGTATTTAGCGTGTTCAATCTCCCAGGTGAGGGCTGCTGACTGGCTACTCAGCCAAAATGACAGAAGGGCAGCTCCTGGGCTCCAATAAAGGGGCATAATTGTTCCCAGAGAGTTGGGTGGTTAATCTGATATTTGGGGGGAATCAGCCTTCAAACTGACCTCTTACTGTGAGCTCAACTTCCCTTCCTCCCAAAACCCACTGGGCTGTCATGACACCATCTAAATCTATCCTTAGGATGGACTGAAGCATTGTCAGCTCTCCAATTTCCCCCTTGTTCTATGCCTCCCTGAGCCAGCTCTTCCTGAAGTCTCCAACCAAGGCTCTACTGCACAGAATAGTCAGGGGGCAGCTGTTCTGCTCGGGACAAATGAACACTATCTCAGGTAATGAAGCCATCTCACCTCTGAATAGAGAGGTGGGCAGCATGCCAA